AGGGAGTGGGGGGGTGGATAAGCATTGTGCGCAAACTATAGAGTGTTTGTGTGTGTGTGTTTGGGGGGGGTTGTGCCGTGTTGCGCGAAGGAGCGAGGGGATGGGGGTTGATGCGTGAACTAGTGAGCGGAGGGAGGGGTTTGGGGGAGTGTGCCAACTGAGTAGCAGCAGGGGTTTGAGGGGGGGGGGGGGGGTCGTGAGAAGTGAAATGAGGGAGTGGGGGGGGTGGATAAGCGTTGTGCGCAAACTATAGAGTGTGTGGTTGGAGGTGGGTTTTTGCGTTGTGTGCGAAGGAGCGGGGGATGGGGGTTGATGCGTGAACTGGTGAGCGGAGGGAGGGGGGTTGGGGGAGTGTGCAAACTGAATAGCTGGGGTTGGGGAGGCGGCGGGGGGGGGGTTGCGCGAAGTGAAATGGGGGCGTGGGGGGTGGATAACGAAGTGCGCAAACTATAGAGTGTGGGGGGGTGGGGGCGTTGTGCGTGAAGGAACGTGGAGTGGGGGATGGGGGTTGATGCGTGAACTGGTGAGCGGAGGTAGGGGGGTTGGGGGAGTGCGCAAACATATAGGAAGGTTGGTGGTGGGGTAGAGGGAGAGAACTGAACGTACTGAAGTGGGCGAGGGGGCATTGCATGAACTAAAGAGGCCGGGGGGGGATTTCCAGGAGTTTACCGGGAGACAGACCAAAACTGTAAATGGGTCTGAAATACGGGAGACTCCCGGAAAAAACGGGAGTGCTGGCAGGTATGATCAGCTGTGACTTATTCACAATCCACCACAGTCTCCAGTTGCTTTTAATGATGTTTTTTTTAATAAAACAGTCACCACATGAATGAATATGACACGTATAAAAAACAATGCGCTCTTGTAAACATTTAAAGGTCCCCTGGAGTGCTTTGAAATGCACATTATTTATTCAATCTCCACTGAAACATGAAGAGGGCGGGACATAGAGTAGCTCCTCCCCTTTAAAAAAACAGCCAATAGCATTTTGTTTTTATAACAGCTCTGCAGTGTTGGGCTTTAGCACTGCTACAAGTGCTTGATGGAAAGTGGGTGGGGCATATCAGACACTAGAGATAATTTATTGGTCAGAAGATTTGATGAGAAACTGAAGTATGAGGTGACATGAAAAAAAAACGTTGATCCGTTTAGGCGGAAGAGACAAAATGCAAGCTTTACATGTACAGTTAAAGTCAGAATTATTAGCCCCACCTGGATTGTTAGCCCCCTTGCTAATTTTTCCCCCAATTTCTTTTTAACGGAGAGATTTCTTCAGCACATTTCTGCACATAATAGTTTTAATAGGATGAAGACAGTAAATAATATTAGACTAGATATTCTTCAAGACACTTCTAAACAGCTTAAAGAGGCATTTAAAGGCTTAACTAGGGTAATTACGGTAACTAGGCAGGTTAGGGTAATTAGACAAGTTATTGTATAACGATGGTCTGTTCTGGAGACTATCGAAAGAAGAAATAGCTTAAAGGGGCTAATAATTTTGACCTTTAAATGTTGTTTAAAAAAACTGCTTTTTTTCTAGCCGAAATAAAACAAATAAGACTTTCTCCAGAAGAAAAAATATTATCAGACATACTGTGAAAATTTCTTTGCTCTGTTAAACATCTTTTGGGAAATATTAAAAAAAAAATTCAAAGGGGGCGAATAATTCTGACTATATGTTCTAATTGTGAATTGTGTCACTGGTATGGAGCACACTAGCTAATAGCCGTTTTTAAAATTAGCAGACTAAAAAAAAAAAAAAAAAAAAAAAGCATTTTTAGAACCTTTAATAAGAAAATATCAAACCTCTGTTAAATATATCAAGCGCGAAATTTCAGATTTTGCAGAATTGTAGCCTGAATCCCGTACGAAGAATGAGCCTAAGATGCACAGGCGCTTGGGGCTCCCACAAAGGTGGAGGTGAGTGTGGGTCTGTGATGGACAGCGGAAGGGTGAAAGGTGGAAATGGAGACGGGATGCAATGATTATGCTTGTGTTCGTGTGGATGCATCATAACCGAAGCCATTTCTCCATGGCAGATTTCACCTTGCTTCCTCCTGCCAGGATGCTGCATGATTTATTGATGCGTATTATTATTTTTCCTTCAGATTCAAATCCTGTACAGCCGCACGGCCAATTAAACACCCCCCCCCCCCTCCTCCTCCTCCCTATGCTCTACGCATGAGAAACAAATGGTGATATTTTCAGCCACATCACGGAGAAACAAGCAAACGTGATTTTCATTCTGCTCGGTCAATAATTAATACACATTATTTAACGGATGTTAACTTATTCAGGGGTGCGTTTCCGAAAAACATCTTTAGTCAACTAAGGTCGAAAGTTCTGTTGTTACGAACATAGTTTGTTGATTTGACATTTCCTAAATCCGTCGCTCCAACAAACATTTGCAAACTGCATCGCAAACTTGTTCGCTTGCAGCTACACCTCTAGAGCTGTAGTTTGAAACCGTTCCTGGCTGTGTTCTATTCCCACTTATCCCCACTATGCCCTACTGCCTTAGAACATTCTAACATTTAAGTTTGGAATGATTTAAAAAAGCATTGAAGTCATCTCTCTGAGGTGTCATTTGCTTTCAAACTATTTTTACAGTTCAGTTTTAGCGATCTTCATATTGACAAGTGTGCTCCCTTAATTAGTTATGTACCCTTTACATGACTATATCACCTCACATGCCAAGGAGCAAAACAGAAACATATATTTAAACAGATTCACAGTTTATAATTTTAATAATTTATATTATTATTAATATTCTTATTATTATTCATATTCTTATTCTTATTATGATTGTATTATATTATTATTATTATTATTATTATTATTATTATCATTTTAATATTATTAATATCAATGTTATTATTATTATTATTATTACTATTGTTTATTATTATTCATTCATTTTCTTGTCGGCTTAGTCCCTTTATTAATCCGGGGTCGCCACAGCAGAATAAACCGCCAACTGCCCTTCCAGCAGCAACCCATCTCTGGGAAACATCCACACACACATTCACACACACACATACACTACAGACAATTTAGCCTACCCAATTCTGTACCACATGTCTTTGGACTGTGGGGGAAACCGGAGCACCCGGAGGAAACCCACGCGAATGCTGGGAGAACATGCAAACTCCACACAGTAACGCCAACTGAGCTGAGGCTCGAACCAGCGACCCAGCGACCTTCTTACTGTGAGGCGACAGCACTACCTACTGCGCCACTGCCTTGCTGCTGTTTATTATTATTATTATTATTATTATTATTATTATATTATTAATGTTATTATTATTAGTAGTAGTAGTTGTATTTATAATATTGTTATTTTATTATTATTATTACTATTATTGTTATTTTATTCATATTATTATTATTTATTATTATTATTATTATTACTATTATTATTTTATTCATATTCATATTATTATTATTATTATTATTATTTTATTTATTTTTTATTATTGTATTATTGTTATGATGTGTGTGTGCGTGTGTGTGTGTGTGTGTGTGTGTAAAACAATATAATTTGCACAAAAAATATAGGGGTTTTCTCTAATGAAGTAGTTACTCCACCCCATATACGTCATTATATATGGACGTTTTACATAATAACTAACGTAGTTCGAACGATAGATCTGCGACAGAGAAACTACCGATTTGAGAAACACTCGTC